GAGGCTGGGGTAGGTGATCAGATTGTTGCTTGGAGCCTTAGAGCTTGTGGGAGCACGGCCATTTGTTTCTCTTATCTCCCCAGCACGGGCCCTCAGAACTCCTCTCGCTGGCGATGGCCTATTTCCAAAAGTCTCTTCTAGCAGCAATGAGCCATGAAGTGAGGGGCTGCACCCCCCAGGACCCGAGCGCTGTGCAGAGGTGCTTGGTTTCCAGCTTTGCTCTGTGGGTTGGAAGCACGAGTTATATTTGCTCTCCCCCCTGCGCTGAAGGTGGCCACTGTGACTCTCCCCTGCTTTGGCATACGGTGGCTCTCAGGTGCTGCAGCATTGTACCGTGACACAGGTCAGGTCCCAGTCCCAGAACACTGATACCCCTTGGGGTGGCCTTGTGCAGCTCGCCCCATCCTACAGATACATGGGGAGCTGGTCTGCCCCAAAATGGGCTGTGCTCCCTGTGCTGCTCTGAGCACAGGCTGCACCCCAGCGCTGCGGGGCTGATCCTCCTCCCTCATCACCAGCGCTGCGTATGCGAGCAGCATGAGGAGCAGAGCCAACAGTAAGTTAGCGCTGGCTGTGTCCCATACTAATGTTGTTCTTACTATTTCAGTGCCATCTTCCTTATTTCCACCCTCTCCCTGAACAACTAAATTAATTAGAGTGATTTTTTAAATTTAAATACTGTCGTGGAATAATAATTCTGGTGAATTCAGTTTTTTTGTCATTCCCCACTGCTTCTTTTCTCTGTTGTGCTCTCTTTTAATGCACTGTTGATATTTTGTTATAGCTATGGAAGATCACAGCTGTTGTCTACAAAAAAAAAAAAAAAAAGAGTAAAATCACGCTATGTGCTGTTGCCGTCCAACAGCCATTTTTCTTCCTCCACCAGCTCACAAAAAAACCCTTCCCCTATTAAGTGCAGAAGCATACATTTTTCTTGGCTTGTAAAAAGCAAAAAAATCTCACAGCAGCTTCACTGAAGCTGCGGCAATGTAAGGAAGCCAAAGCCCCTACAACAGGCTGGGGCTGCATCCTGAGCTTGTTAGGCGGTCAGATCCTGCAAATCCTGGATCCCAGGAGTGACTCCACACAGGCGGCAGGTCTGTGGGCATCACCCGCTCCTGCACTTTACTGGTCACTGAGTTATATTTACCTGGATGTGTTCATTTGACCTACAAACATATTTTCTGATCCAATCCAGTAACAAAACCACTCCCGCAGTTCTCATGAAAGGACAAAAAAATCCTATTAGACCCCAAATTTATATTTATGTAGTGGTCAGGGCTGAGAAAACCATTGCTTAATGTTGGCCCTTCTGGACAGCTTTCCTCGGCCCCTGCCAGACCTTTTCTGACCCTGCAAGTTCAGCCCTCGGTGGTCTTTTGCATCGAGACAGAAGCTAAGCAAGGATCAGGCTGAAGAGGCACTGTGCTCCTCTCCTCAGCAGCGCAAAGTGATAAATGAAGGAGAACCGGGATGGAGATTTGAATCGTTGTCTCTGAGTCCACAGCTCCAATTATGAAACAGATTTGAACCAGTCTCACAATCCACATAACCAATTATGAAATCCCTCCTTGGGTCCCTGGCCCCGGACTCATATAGCGATTGCACAGTGCACACCTTGTGTCTGTCATACTTTAGAGCATTTTTAAATGAACCTCAGTTGAGGCCCATGCAGTTCCAATTAACCCATACGGGCTGTGTGATCGCCCCGTCAGGGCTCGTGCAGCCCTGTTCCTGCCTGTTGCCTCGAACAAGGGTTATTAGGGTGGCTGAAGTGAGATTGCATTAAAGCAGTGAGATGAAAAGCTTGTTTTCCCCCCGGACTGCAGCATTCATCTCTCGCTGCTGGAGAGGTGATGTGCAGTGCTACGCAGAGCACTCCTCTGTTCCTTCCAGGGACACCAGGGTCAGTGTTTTCAATGAGCTTACCTCCCTGCTCAGACCAAAGAAAGGACTGAGCTTGTTGGCTGCCTGGATTTTTTTTTTTTTTTTTTTCTAAAGCACAGTCGTGTGAAGCAAAAATTTCTGAGGATATTCAGAAAGGGCTGACAACAGGGGGGCACCTGCTACACCCAGACATTGGCAGGGTGAAGATTACCTCAAGCAGTGAGATTAGGGGAGCATCCCCATCCTACATCCAAGGTGTACAGCCTGCTCATCATCTTCAAGACAGATTTTATCAGTTGTCTTCTTAGGCAGGACTCTGTATTTCTGGTCACCCCTGGAACCAGAATCAACCCTCCTCGGGGAGACAAAGGGGTGATGAGAAACCTGGAGCTGGTGTTTGGAGGCAGGATAGTATTAGCTTCCACATTTATTGCCCTGGAATCGAGCCGGGGGTGTGGCCTGCCTCCGAAAGGGACAGGTTGAATCTGTGAGGCTCTGCAGGAAGCAGGGATATTTGTAACACAGCACAAAAGGTAATTCGGCCCCTGGTGATGTTATATACAACCTCCTCACCAGATGCTTCAACCCCCTAAACAGTTGTAACTGCTTCTCCACAGGTTTCAATTAAATTCCCTTAAGTACATAAACTGGCTGGTTTGGACCAATACCTACAGATTTGATTGCAACAGCAGATGTTTTATTTTTACCTGCAAGTGAAAACGGGGAGCGTATATCAGGGCTGTGACACATTTTGTGTGAAACAGATGTTTCTATTAATGCCAAAATTTGGGTGGAAATTCAAAGGATGCTTTTTTGCCTTTTTTTTTTTTTTTTGCAAGCTCTATTTTACCCAATTAAACTGCAACTTGCTGAAGTATTCCAATGAATCACTTCCTTTTCTTTTTTCTTTTCTTTTTTTTTTTTTTTGATTAGTAGGCTGTAAAGGGACAAAAGAATAGCTTTGTATCAGTCTCCCTCAATTAAATGTAAAGTACATCTGGATAGAGTCTGAAGATCCATCTTTCACTGGCAGTTGCAAAGCCATCGACATAATAAAATAATACACTGATTGGCATTACAAGGCTGCATTTAAATCATTGGCATTCATGCTCCAAGTCCTTTGCAGGGAGCGCAAGCCCTCCATTAGAGAAAAGCTTAATTTTATACTGCGATCTGTATAAGATATGCAATGAAAATGAGAAAAAAAAAAAAGAGCTTTTGCAGAGCTGGAGACATAATAATAGAAGCTACAATGAATGTCTGGGCAGCTTTTTCAGTTACTTATAAACTGCAGGTGTCAAATGCATTCTGGAGGGAAGCTGAATTCCAGTTTTAATTACAGTCAGCAGGTTGAGGCATAATTCAAGGCTTGATAATACCTTCAATCCATAACAAGACTCCTCCTGCTATCAGTAAGAAGTTTACACCAAGATCAAGGAGAAAGCGTGACCTCCTTGCAGTAGCTAAACTCTGAACTTGAGTATCCCGCTGTAAAATCCCAAACACCCTTGATATTCAAAGTATCTATTGTTTGCGTGATTATCTCAGCAAGCCTCAGCATCAAACGGGAACTGAACTAGTGAAACGCCTCTGATGATCAGGGTGAGCAAGATGTGTCATTGCAGCTTTCATCTAAAGGTTCCTTTGGCTCAAATTAGCTCTGGAGGAAAAAAAGGCAAAAAAACCCCACAAAACCCAAACCCAACCCCTTTGTCTGGAATTGTGTGTGTGAACCCAAACCCAAGTGCCGCATGGGCCTTCCCAGGTCTTACAAGGTAAGTACGACCTGGCTTTATCAGCAATCTCTTTTACCAGCAACAGTAAGTTTATTGAGCTCCAAGACTTTTAAGTTCATGATGTGCTTGAATAGCACCACGTCCATCAATGCCCTGACCCAGAACTGAGTCTTTGAGGCCTTATGCTGATACATATAAGAAAGAGAAATATTAAACTCTTCTACCTATTAATGATTCTGGGCAAAAAAGCAGGGGGTGTGTGTTGGTGTGCTGAACTTGGCTACTGGCGGGCTGCTGCTCAAAGGTTGGCAGAGGTCTCATTTAAAGCCAGTAGGCAGAGTCTTTGAAGGAGAAGCTAATCATGCATTATTATGTGGGAAAACACAGCTCAAGAGTTACAGGCGCAGCTGGGAAGTCAACGAAAAGGAAGCAGAGAGGCAGAGCCTCCTGGGAGAGCGAGGTTCGCAGAGGCTGATGTAGGGATCTCTGAGCAAGGGAGAAGCTCATCGCTTTTACTCTGCTCAGGGAAACACAACCTCATGAGGCAAATTTCTTATCAGAGGATTCAACCAATATACCTGCCTCGTGCCATTCTTCTGCTGTAATGGAGAAACCCTGAAGAAGAAAAGGGCTGGTTGGTGGAATGATCTTCTGTTGGCTACCAAGAACCAGGAACTCCTTGGGACTAAATAAACTACAGGAACAAACTGAAACCACTTGAAGTGATGACTTTTAAAATAATTATATTTGTACTGACATAACCCACACATACACATAAGCTTTATGTCATTGCCAAAGGCAGCCCCCACCAACGGCATATATGACTCTTGGTACATAACACCTACATCCTCACAACACCCCTGTGAGGTAGGGCAAAGCCATGAACCCCCTTTCACCGGTGGGGAACCTGCCAAAACTGAGCGACTTTCTTGTGGTCACCCAGAAAGTCTGCTGCTGAGCAGGGAGTGGCGCTTGGGCTTTCAGAGAGGGCAGACATGAGGCTGCTTTTTGTCAAACACCCTGCACTGCCAACAGCTCCTCTGCTCCATCACGGCCATTTCTGCTGTAAGGAAATGGCCACGAGCAGCAGGTGATGTCACCTAAGTCCTCACAGGCATAAAAATGATCATAAAAACAAGAACTGGGGGGAAAAAAGAACCTGTGGAAAGACCAATCTGATTTGTAACCAAAAGCCAATCTTAAATGTCTACCACGTTCCTAGTAACAAAATAAGTGTGTATCAAAAAAAAGTATTTTAAGAAAATGTGACTTTTTAATCTCCGCCATCCCAGAATCGTAGAAAACAGGGCTGGAAGGACCCTGAGGGGTCATCAGGTCTTTTCCCCAGCTTCTCTGATCCTCTGTGGCTGGGTGCCCTCAATAGATGGAGCTTACGGTGCTACCTTGGCTACTCGTGTCAGAGCTGTCCAATGTCACACCAGGGCCTGCATCCATGCTGTCAGGATCTGCCTGATCTTTAGCAAAGTTGATGAAAACCTAGAAGTTTAAAGGAGAACATTTAGTACGTGACAGCATAAAGAATTTATAATGTGAGTGAATATAAAAAAGGAATGGCTGTTCGTTTGACTGTGAGCCTGGAGGGAGTGCTCAGGAATGGTTTCACGCTGGATTTGAGCATTGGAAATGTTGGGCTTCTACAGGCTAACGTAAATAAACAGACACACGCTCCTGTACTGCTGAATTTACATCCAGGATGCAAAGGTAGACATTCCTCGACAAAACCGAACTGTCTTGCAGCTCATGTTTTAAAAGTACTAGCGAGGTAGTACCCGTGTGGTAGCTCGTTTTGATCACAGTGTAATACAGCTATATTATTATTTTATAAACCCATCTGTCTATATATAATTGATATCCGTGCACACACAACTGTGTGTTATATAGACAGGTGTATATAACCACACGTAACAGTCTTTGTTTGAACACTATCTAAGGAATACATAAAATATTCTTACTAGAACACTACCTGCAATCATATTTGCATATACACAAATCCAAGCTGTCCTCCCACAAAACGTGACTTGGGGCTTCCTGTGATTTGTGTGCCTGTTTCTCTCACAACCACTGCCCCTTATTAGAAGAATATTGAGGACCTCCTTTCCTCCTCCCCTAGATATCTGTTTAACAATTCATAGCATTACAGGACTGCAGTTTTGCTCCCGTCTCTGGGACAGACCTCACATATTAGATGCTACTGCTCAACAGGATGATTTCTTCTGGATAGTCCTTGCAGGATCCCTTCAGCTGATGTGGTCCTACAAGATTTTGATGCCAGTGGGAATGTTGTTCCAAGGGAAAATGGACGGAACTTAACTATGAAGCTAGGTTTGGAGTAATGCTAAATGAACTTACAACCCAAATACAGTACAAGAAAGAGCAAAATCAAGCAAATTTCCAGGACTGGCAGAAAAAGTCCACCACCAGGCAGCCTAGCACTGGACTTGGGGGTGATGCATAATCCTGCCCTTCATCCACACCCACAAGGCTGCTGAAGTCAGCAGTGGCAAAGGGAAGAACAGATCCTTTATGCTACAGGCAGCTTTCTCCGTGCGTTTTCCTAGCGCCAGCACAAGTATCTGGAGGCAGTAGGACTGATAAAGTATCCCCAGGAGGAATACAGATGGAAATCCCTTTCAAAATGTAGTCTATTGTGCGCAGCAATCCATTCTGTGTAACCATCAGTCTGCTCCCCTGTTAACAATTTTAAATGGATGGCCACACATCTTTAATTCCTTACCTCCTCTAATGTTGTTTGACTCACTGAGAAGTGCCTGATATTGAAAGCTGCTTTGCTGGCTTCCAGGAGATCAAATATATTTGCTACCCCTCCTGCAGAGACTGGAACGTGATACTCCACCATGTTGAAATGCCGATCCTGGGGAAGAGGAATGATGGGGTAAAGTTAAGAGGTTGCTGCCTATAAAAAGCCAACAGATCTGATGGCTGGCTGGCTGAGAACAAAAGCAAAGAGGAGCTGAACCATGGGAGAATGAAGGGGCAGAGGGTGCATTCTCTCCTTCTGGCTCCCAAAAGTGAAGAGTATTGTCCAAAATTGATTGGTATTTCCCCACTGGGAGTTTTTGTGGGTTTTGTGTCTGGGAGATGATAACTAAGCCCCAGAGCTGGAAGCTTGAGGGAAGCCATAGCGTTTTCCAGCTCCAAGTCTGCCATTTTGATTAATGCAAGACACTGGGTTACAGATGGCGGATGGGATTCGTGACTCAGTTACTCTGGTTTTACAGTTATTCAGTTACTGGAAGCACCCAACCATCTCACTATCCACTGAGTATGAAGTGTGTCTCCATGCAGTCCAGGCTGCAGTGGGACCATTCACAGGGGCAGAGGGTCACTTCACAGCTGCCTTACAGGATCATTGCAGCTGTTTGGCTGAGGTTATTTAAGCCACCAAGGAACTTGGGTCCTTCAACCCTTGGACAACATTGCTGATAGCACTGACAAGTGTGTGTGTATGAATCCCTTCCACTCTGAGAGCATGGATCTATGTGCACAGGATGTTACAAGATGTCTGTCTTGCAAGATCTTCTTAGTTAATTTGAAGGGATTGAGAGGGTCTCTCCTGAAAGCATTTGTCCTGCCTACCTTCAGGCATGTATTTGGAAAATGGGACTTCATGAACTCTGTCAGTGTCTCAGTGCAAACTGTGTTGTTATTTAAGTGCATCTTCACAGTGAATCCTCTTCCAAACCTAGGGGAATAAGAAAATCACAATTAACACAGTAGGAAAGAAAAATAGATAAAGCAGATCCTTTGAGCATGCTGCGCAGCATCTTTGGGGAAATCCAAGCCAGGCAGAGTGCAGCCTGAATGGGGTCAGGGGTGTTAACCTGGACTGAATCTTAATAAGAAGCCGAGCTATTGTGATAACTAATAAAATCAGAGCTCAGCCCTAGCATGCATTTCACATTTTCATCAGTGAACAGATTACTTTGGGGAACACATCTCTGAGAAAAAAGGTTGTGAGAGAGTAGAAAGTGCATTAGTTAACACAGAATTTCAATGGTGTAGTAAGAAACATCAACCAGAAAATGACGTTGTTTTGATGCCCTGTTAACAAAGGTCTTGTGTTGTGAGTTCTCAAAGCTGTAGGTTAGTAACTCCATACGGTGTTCAGTACAAGTATTTCACATTTTACTGACCTGCTCTTGATGTGCTGTAAAGAGCCAATGCACTGAAAACTCCCGTTCACCATAATAGCCAGCCTGGTACAGAGGGCTTCACATTCTTCCATGCTGAAAAACCAGCCAAGAAACTCCAATAAGTCATTGGGAAGGTATAAAAACTCCAGCTGGTTTAGTGATCGGAGAACATTACCGACCTTCCCTAGAGGAAGTGTTGTATGTCTATGTGGGCACCCACATTCAGCCACAACAAACCCCCAAAGCTGTCATAGCTCAGTGCTCTGAAATTCTGCGAGGACCAATGGGGAGCATGAAAGACAGTCTTCTCCATCCCTCCTGCAGACCCTGACACTGGAGCCAGAGCCAAACCAGCCCTACCTGTGGGATGTGAGTATCACCGAGCACTTGTTCTGCACTTCCTCGCTGATGATTTTCCAAAGGTGGCGCTTAGCATTGGGATCCATTCCAGAGCTCGGTTCATCCTATTGGGAAAGACAGGACTGAATGTAAATTTGCACTCAAAATCTGACTTTCCTAACATTTGTGCTCTTTTCAGGTTCATTGTTAGTGTTATGTTTGCTAGTAGCAACCCACAGGAGAGCTTACACTGGTACAGATCAGGGAGAAGGATTATCTTCAACTGAATTATGGATTTGACTGAGACATCCTATGCTCCCTTCAAGCAGAAGCAGCTCAGCTCGACTAAGATCTCCTGCACAGCTCCTAGGGTGACTGGTGGGAACTCCCAACCTCCATCAGACTCCAGAGGAACTGACTGGCTGTGATAGCACCACCTAAGATCAACCCTACTGTGCATTTTATACCATGGTGTTTTACATAACCAGAAACATCTCCTATTTTATGCATTGCTGATAAAAATGTTGGCTAATTTCCAATTGACATTTTTTTATTTTTGAGAGTAACACCTCAAAAAGAATAATAAATAATAAATAAATAATAATAAAAATAAAACAGCTTGGGTTCAGGCAGCAGTCAGTACGGAGGAAATTTCCCCACCTTCTATTTTTGCTGAGATTTTTTTTTATGTCACAAAAGCAGCTAGAGGGCTGGTGTACATGGTCAGAACACAGTAGTGCTGGGCTTGATACAAGTTGGGGCAAGGGAGATTTATTTCCACTAGGTATAAATTTAATATTGGGAAACCTGCTCACAGAGAATTGCAAACATTCAAAACACAGCAAGGGGAAAAACTGCACAAAAATGTATATTTTAGCAATGGCATATCTCATGGAAGAACTGGAAAGTTCAAAGTAAAACAAAAAAGGGGAAACCAAACCTATAAAAACAGTTTTATGTTCTAATCCTGAAGGAAGTTGCTCCTTTGCTCTCCTACAGACTTGGAGCCTTGGATGCCACTTTTCTTGCAACACTGTGCAGGGTAGTTGATATAAAAACAAAAAACAAGAAAGATCTCAGAACAAGGAGAGCTTAACTGTCAAATACAGGCTCTATTTTTGACCTCCGGAAGATGCTAACAGAGAAACTGGCAGACACACCACTCCCTTATCCCCTCAAAGAAAATTTGGGTGCTTGCTAAACTTTCCTCTGATGCATAGGTTGTCAAGCTAAGTATGGGCATTTGGGGAGTGTCCTGAGAAGGTTTTGCTTGACTGTCAAAGTACCTCTGCCAGCCCAGAGATCTGCTCAGCTTCCCCACAACAAGGCCCCCATTTCTCACCAGCAGCAGAATTGATGGATTCCCAATGAGCGCCAGAGCAGTTGACAGTTTTCTGTTGGTGCCATAACTGCACATAGAGGTGACTCTGTCTTTGTAGGCCATCAGATTCAGCCGGTGGAGAAGCTGCAGTACAACCTATGGGTGCAAGAGTACTGATTTCACAGCAACGTCCAGGCATAAATTACCACACGCGTATCTATTTACTAAAATACTAATTAAATCAATGTAAAGTCTCAATAACTGGAAAATGCTTTAAGTCAAGCCCCAGGGTTACTCACTCCTTTGATCTCTCTCTCTGGGATGCCATGGAGCCTAGCATAGTAATACATGTGCTCTTCCACTGTCAGCAAGTCATCCAAGGCATCTTCCTGAGGACAGTAGCCAAAGAGTGACCAGTGTGCCTCACTAATGTCATTCAAGGATCTGTGTAAAGAAGTTGGCAAGTCATTTTAAGCACACTGAATTGCCAATGCACTCTGGAATCAGAGAGGGGACAGAAAAACCCTTTTTCCTGCTTCCTACCCCTTCCCCAACCTTTGAATGAAAATGCTAGGAATTTGCAGACCTTCAGCTTTTAGGCCCTTGGTTCTGCAAAGGAAGAAATCTATTTCCGACGTCCGTTAGTCACCATCTCTACTACATAGCTCTCCAATTGCCGCCAGCACTTCAGACGGCACAGCTGCCAGCCAGCCTACTCCTGTTAAAAAGTGCTTTGAGATGAGTCCTGCTGGTCTCCAGATACTAGCTCAGAAGTGGAATTGCGCTCAGCTGAGGATCTGAGTCTCATCCCATTTGCAATGGAATAAAGTGAAAGAATCACCACTGAGAACAGCGGAGGTACGACAGCAAAATGCAAACCTTAGGAAAGCAACCATACCATCTTCAAGGGATTAAATTCCCTGTCTTGTTTATTTTCACTCTGTTTTGAATGTTTTGTTTTGTTTCAGACTTTTACATTTCTTTTCCTTTGCCATCCAGCCTTAAAAACTGCTCCCCAGCTGATTTTCTCACATGCCTTCCCCAGAAATCACATTCTCCATACCCAGAATGATCCTGGACCCGCAACCTTCCACTGGATGCTCCAATATCACCTGTCAGCATCTTAAAGATGGTCGTCTTTCCAGCTCCATTCACACCAAGCAAGCCAAAGCACTGGGTTGTGGGAAAGAATGGCAGAAATGTAAGTGTGCTGTATTTATAATACAGAAATACTGCTCCAAGATGAGTGCTCAGTGCATCTTGTCTCTTCTTTTCTCTGGACCCCAGGGCAAGATGAATTGGAAGAGTGGCAGAGGTACTCAGAGCACACAAATGTTATAATAGCAGTTGTTTATGATGCAATATACTGCAGCTTATATTAGGACCATTTGTTTAATATTGTGAAGAATCAAGGCTGTGTCTCTAACAGAGTCACTCCTTTGACTGCAAGGTGCATTTTTGCAGTGAGCTCATCTGACAGGCCAAATCCTGATCATGTAATTTGTGCAAAGCCTCGCATTGGCAGGAACAGAGCTATTCATAGGGGTGAGGTGAGTGAGGTTTGCGCTGTCATTGGTAAAACCTTAATGCAACACAAGATTTTTGTCAAATAATCCCACTAATGCACTACATTAATAAGATTAAGAACCGGCTCCCTGTAGTGCAGTTCAGTATCTCATGCTAAAATCTACGTTTTATTGCTAAGGTTGGAGATATGCAGTTGTGTGTTGCATGAGCAATCACCATTGTGCTGATAATTACTATTATTTTGATATCAGTAATACAGACCAGCTGATCTCAAAATCCTCACGTGCTGGGCCCACTGCAGATGCATAGCATCGATCCAAGGCTCTTCCCCACCTCCAGGTCCATGCAGGGACAGTATCTGTGCACAGTCTGCGGTGCAGGGCCACAGCCTCTGCTGACAGATGGGGGATGGCACCCTAAACCCCGCCGGCATCGGGCTGACTTTTGCCAGAAGTTAGAAACCTCGATGCCAGTTGTGGCTTGGAAAAAATCCTCTGCCAGGAAGATCAGTGCCACAGTATCCACATGAGGCTGCTGTCCTCCTGCCCACCCTACATCTTTTCATCTCAGTGGGATCCAGGCAATTCAAAAAAATCAGGTACCAAAGATTAATTCCAAGCTTCCCCACAAGTCAGGTGCACAGCCTGGGGTAGAACCTGTTCTCCACTCTCCTCTGGGTCTCAGAGATGCTCCCTGTGCTCCTGTCTTTTCTCATGAGTCAGTGTTTTTGCAGGTCACTGCTCTGACATGACCAAAGAATGTTTTTTTCTTTAGAGTTAGTTTTAAGTCCTGATTAATGAAAAAGTGTGTTCAGCTGAAATGATTTGTCTTTCCCTGATGGGAAAATACAAGCAGATAAGCCTGACTCACTGTCTCACATGCAGTTTAGGTGAATAATTGCACCTGGACAAATTCTGCTGTCTTCATTTACCATATGGTAATCCACAGTGACCCCCCAAGACTGCGCTGTGGTAGGTGCTGTACAAACACAGCATGCAGATGTTTTGCTCTGAGTACAGGTCCATCACCATCCCATCCACTCTTCCTCTTTCTAGAGCCTTCACACTGTCACTTCATGTCCCAAATCCACCAGGAGCCTTTCATCCCTACTGTAACCCCAAGAATCAATAAATAAGGCAAAGGAATGAAGGAGGAGGTCAGACCAGAACAAACCATTACAGTTGTGCCGGGACAGTGGCAAGGACTGGGAGAGAGATGACAGTGGGACTGTGGATCTGTTCCAGTTTCCCTCCCCAGGGTGGAAGGTGCCCACAGCCTTTTCCCCTCGCTTACCTCTCCCGCAGGAATCCCAAGGCTGATGTTTTTCACAGCCACAATGCGTTTGTGAGGAAGGTGGTAGATCTTTGTGAGATTCTGGAGCTGCACCACATCGAAGTCAGCTTTGCCAGACTCTACTCGGTTCCTCTCTGCCTGGACGTCCCCATCCTCTTCAGCTGCGGGTGGCAGAAGTGATGCTTTACCGTGCACTCTGTCAAACAGGAACCTGTGGGGAGGGCAGAGAGGGGACCTTATCCTCTGGGCAAGCAGACAGCAGTGGGCCTGTGTGCTTGGGATACTAAGGAGCCTTATACATAGATATATGGATAGTTTCTGTTCTCTCCTGATATTCACACCTTTTAGGGAATTAAAAAATCCAGTGTTCTCTTTCTGCCTAATTTTTTCTCTTTTCCAGCAAATATTCTGAGCTGGAAGACGTCCTGCCTTGTGGACACACTTGTAATGCAAGTCACAGGAGTGTTCTCACTCCTCCCTATGTGCACCCAAGCCAGAGGAGACAGGGAGATTCACACAGAGGAGGTTGACAATAGACTGATTGTTCTTACCAACCAGCTGATCATCAGCCCACCAAACCCAGAGCCCTGAAACAAGGGCTATACTCTCAGCCAGCAAGGACTACCAAGGGACTCTGGTAACCTACACCTCTATTAGTTAATACTCCAGTTAGTGCTAGGTACTGGGACTGCTGCCAGAAAAAAATTACTCCATGTTTGCAAAGTGTCTTGGAAATTTATGGGCTTCATAATTGACAATGATGGTACAAAATTGGTACAACCACTCAGCGCTGGCTTGGTCTGTTTTCATTGTGAGACTCCAGATGTTACTTACTCCAGTATGTTGTTCCAGACTCTCTGAATCATCCTGTCGTGAACTGTAAGACGAATGGCAAAGAACACAGTGCCCTGGATAAACATGGCAAACAGCTTGGATGTGGTCTTGTCCAGCTCAAAGGTTTTGTCAGGGTAGTCCACTCCATAGGCTTTTAAGAAGCCCAGCAATGCCTGATCCTGCGACAGTTCAATCAAGCCATAGCCAAAGCAAAATTGTGGGAACAGAAGGAACGCATGCCTTAAGTTTTCAGCAAGATCACGCAAGCCCTGAGAAAAACAAAAAGCAGCACAGTCAGTTACTGTTTTTATTCATGGAATCAATTCGTAGGTTTTACTGTGGGACTGAAGTGTAGCAATTACATTGGGATTTGCTTGTGTCTCAGAGCAGAGATAAATTGAGAGCTGAGAACTCTGGAGACAGCTCATTTCACAGGCACAAGGTCAGAAAAGTCAACAAGCAGCTCCGAGGTTGTGATCAGCCACAGTAAACAGCAGCCAGTTCCTGGAGCAGTCCCTCACTGTGGCTCCAGCTGCCTCACCCTGCGCAGGCAGCAGCCTGAAACCCACCCGCAAGCCAGAGCCCGATCCTGCCACAGAGCTGCACTGTGCCTCCCCAAACTATAGAGCTGCTGCACCAGCCCGCTGCAGAGCACAGCCCACTCCCCAGTCCTGCTCCTCTGGAGAACCATCCTCTCTGTTTTCCCTGGACAAACATCTCCATAAAACACAAGATTTGGCTTTAATAGACATAGAAGGGCAGTCTCACACTTAAAAACTCTCGTACCTGGAGATTTGGTGTATTTCTAGCAGAAGAAAGGATCAGCACACACAGCAAAGTGGAGAGGCAGTGAATTAGCACAGAAGGAGACTGACTCCCTGCCACTGGGGCACACAGGGATAGAAGATGATTATAATTGCACATCCCTAAAATCCAGGGGGTTGCTAAACAAGTACTGTCCAGCTGAAGAGAAAAATCCAACCCAGCTATTGTTTTTCAAAGCAATTGCCCAGTATAAAAAAGGAAAACTAAATGTAAGGTGTACAATTTATCCCAGTGATTCCCAGGGATATCTCAGTTTAAGAGAAGGCTTTACTTTAGGGAATCACCACTGTCTCCGAGTCATTTTTCATCCTTGCAGGGAGAAGATGGTTGCATTACAGCAGGCAGCTGGTGCTGGGCTTACTGCAGCACATGTCAGACTCACAGCAATGACATCTAGTTGTCACTCTCCACAGTGTGTGCTGCAAGAACTTAGCAACGGTTCAAAGTCCCTGTCAACTTTTTATCAAAATCTACACCTGCCTGCTGCCCTTCTCTGTATGGGCAGTTTTCTACCTCTCTTTTTGTATTCTCCCCTCTGTGAGCATCATTGCCTTCTTTGCTGGGGGTGCAGATTTACAGAAAAGGAAGATTTGTATTTCACTCCCGCCCTGTTTACAGGGAACCTCATTTAGTCCTGTGCCTAGTGTCCTCTGCTTGGTCTACCTTCAAGTATCTGGAAACCAGACAGCTGCTAAGGACTTGATCAAAGCCACTAAACTCAACCAGAAGCCTCCTGTTGTTTCACCACGGGTTTAGCGTTAGTAGGATTCCTACCTGATCCGTGGCCTTTTCCTGTGAGAGCAGAAATACAACCGAGTGAGTAATGATGGTATTGATGCCAAAGAACAAGTTGACGCAGACATAAACGATGAAGGCCATTCCTGTTTCTTTGAAAAAGCCAGCCAGCAGGTACATCCATGAAAACGTTGCGTATCTATAAATTGCCAACAGTGCAGAGAATACTACAGTAACTCAAAGAGCTACTGAAAACAAACAACTAAAGACCTCAGACAACATAACAGTTCTGTTTTGGCATGTGACTGGATTTCCATATTACAGGAGCTTAAAGGAGGAAAAATGGCTTTGTATCTGCTCGAATTTGGAGAAAAAGTTTATGACACATACTTTGAACATGGAGTCCCCACTGAAAACAGACAGACTGCGCCTGCAGGATTCAAAGCCAAGGAGACAGTTTTGCTAAGTTTTTCTGAATTGTGCTGCTGTTTTTTTCTTTTCCTCTCTGATTTTGAAATGCTTCTATATCTTGAACTTTGCAATAGATCAGTAAGCAACTGCTTACAGCTTGAGCTGTCAGTGTGACCCGGAATATTTAATACATTCAGGTAGAGTTTGCTTTGAAAAAAGCAGGCATAACAACAGCAGTTTAGCTCACTGCTCCTGGAAGGAGCAACTGGTCACCATTTGTATAGTGCACAATGAAGAAAAAAGCTCACGTATTCCTCCCTTGGACCTCAAATTGCAGCAGTCTGCACCATCCAGTTCCTCACTCAGTGCAAGGATATCTAAATAACTAAGCTCCACACTTACCCAAACAGTAACAGCAGAAGAAATACCGCTAGTAAGTTATTGTTGTTGCAGAAAGCTGGTATCTGGAAGGATGAAATAACTCCTATTGAGAATCCAATAGGGACCATAAAAAGTACCTGCAAAATGATATTAAAAAGATGTTATTAGGATGATAATTCTTAAACATTTTTCTAGAGCTATGCAGAAGCAACAATACCAGGTTTGAATCTGGTCCCACAAGTGCAGCTTGAGTTTTCTAAGTGAAACCAAATACAGGTGGGGTCTCAGTCCTCCTGGAGTCTTTCTGGAGTCTTGCAAATGAATTCCCACAAAGCCACTTCGAATAGGCTAAGCCTCAACATTCAGAACTGTGGTTAGAAAGTGCCTTAAAAAGAGGCTGTGAGTGAAAAATACCTCTTTGGGTTTTTTGTTAGCCTTGCAGTCAGAGCACTTCATTGTGCCCTGTAAATCTGGTCTTTATAATGTTGAGTCAAGCCAGGGACCTACCAAATGTCTGCCTTGAGAGGTTCCTCTCTTCCCCAGCTTTGGGATTTAACAGAATTTACTGGCAGGGATTCACTGAGAAATATCAAGTTGCCGAGAGCGCTGGATTAGTTTCAGCCTGCTGAATACTGATTGTGGCAGGGACTCTGGGGATTTTTCCACAAGCTGATTTACAAATATGCAGTGCTAGAGCAAGGCCCTGGATCAGAGAAGCAGACACAGGCTTGCCCCATCCTCAGTCCTCCGCTGCAACTCAGGGCTGCTCTGCCATGCTGGACTGCAGCAATGCTGCCTTCAGACCCCTTCGAGCCCCTCGTGCAAGGCAGGAGATACTTGTGCTGTTGCCTAATCACACAAACCCCTATAAACAGGCTATTCAGTGGTGAGCACACCATTGTTAAGACTGCTTTGTAAGTGTGTGTCAGTGTTAGCAAAACACCTAGAAGCTTAGGCTGTGCACTGCAGAAAGAGTCCCCAAGGGATTTCAGCCCTTAGCCCTCACTGCATCAAAGGGGGCTGGCCACCCAAGTACTCTTGAAGATTTCATGTTTTCAGGAACTGATGATACCTCTGGGATTTTAGGCACTAGCAGAACTGCATCATTAGAAATTTGTCGGATATGAAGAGCTCATCACCCTTAAAGCATAGCTGGCAATGCCAAAGCTCACAAGCAGAGATAGTCTGCACTTGCAGATCTCCAACTGCGTGAGGGTTTGACATCGTGCACTGACGGTAATTCATAAGACACAAAGCCCTTTAGTCTATAGACACTGCATATTTATCCTCAGCCCAGCGATGCTTTCCAGCAGTGCTATTAACCCTCTTTACCATGAGGAAACTTAACTTCAGCGAGAACAAGGGCATGCCTGCGCCATGTAGTGCAGAACAGTGCTGGGGAGCTCAACTATCTATAGGAACAAGGTAGTAAATCTATACAGCACAGTGCAGCACCGTAGAAAGGAACTTGTTCAGGCCCTGGAAGGCATATAGCTGAATTAGTAGCTTTACTTGGCTTAAAAACCTTTGCAATACATAATCTTAAAGAGAGCATTCAACCCTGCAATGGATTTTTGCCCAACAGGGGACCATCAGCTGTGTCTGCTAATGTCACACCCTGTATTCCCAGGGCTTCCAAAATGTCTATAGCCTCAAGCCCCAAAGCCCTACCCCAGATGTGCAAAGCCTGCATGACAATTAATTTAGCCCTGCAAGCTAACAGAAAAGCAGCTTGCTCCTTGGATGTCAAAATTGAAATCAAGCTCTGGCCTGTTGTGTGTTCCTCTCATATCAGTGTGCTGAGTGTTTTGCATACACTCGAGAGAGAAGGAATGCCTTCGCTTAGCAAAATCCAGTGTTGCGGTTCACATTTAATAGTCTTCAATGCCTTGGAGAACAATTACTACATAACACTCTTGGTAGTAATAATATTAAGTCTAGGCAACTGACTTTAAACAAAGAACATGTTTTTCCCCTGCTGTGTAATTCTACTCTTGGTGCATTTAAGAATATGAATTATTTACCAGATCATAAACGAAGTTAGTCACCCAATAGCTTGTCATCCCAATGCCTGAAATATGCTGCAGTTGTTTGGCTTTGGTTTGATGTTCTTTTACCACATAGAGCACAAAGCTCGCAGTTGTAATCGAATAGCCAACCAAAACAGACATTGAGACTATGATGTCGAGTAAGCTGTTGAGCCTAGGGAGAAAGTGGAGAAAGATACATATGGTGAGCCAAAGTGGAAGATTTCCCTCATCACAGAGGCATTGTTTAGAGCTCAGAACCAAAGAGGTCCTGGTTCTGTGCCAGCATCTTTTGCTGATGGCAATTACACCTAGCAAAAAGGACTCACACCACTGAGTCATAAAACTGTGCCATAGCATTGATTGGAAAGGCCAAAAGGAAAATCATGTAATTATTAATATTGTGTCAACGCACAAAATTGTATGATACTGTAACTGTGACTTCCAGATCTGTATGGGACTCTGCAAAGAAATCCTAAAAGGAATCTGCAGCTCTGTGGCATGCAGGTGCTATTTATGCGTAGAAGGAACGAAGACAAGGAGGAGAGCAGTTTCATCATTCAGAGAAAGATATTCAGTAATATAGGCTGCTTTATGGTTCCCAAGAAGCTGGTTTGCTTTTTTTGAAGCTAAGCAATTCAGGCATCAGCCAAATGTATCCTCTTACATCACTTGTTCTTGACTCTGTCCTCCAGGATATGGATGAGCTGATAAGATAATACCTACAAAAAACAAAAAGAAAAGAAATTGAAAATGTGGCTAACTTAAAGCTTCTTTCACCAGTTCCTCAGATTGACAGTAATACAGAAAACTGTGGAGAAAAGCAGATCAAAAGCTGGGTTTTGCTGTCATCTTGGTGTGACCTTGGCCAGAATCTTGAAGGTCCCCATTCTTCCTGTGCCTTCACTTTGATGCACAGCAGATCTGGAATTCAAACCCTAGGCCTTGTTTCTGCATCTATCCAACTGATGGTATCATTCACTTCAGTGAGAGCACTCCTGCACTGAAAACAAGGCACATGCGCATGGGTCCATGTATTTTAGGTTGGATTCCTCAACATGAACACATTCAAAACTGGTGAATATGTTTCATTTTAAACCTTCTGCTTGATTATCTCACTGCATTTCATATGTTCTTTTATTGTCAGAAACAAATTGTTCCCTACTGCCTTTTTCCACAACTATTACCTTCCTGTGATATATGTCTCTCTCAATACGGGTATCTGTTGAGATGCTAGCATAAACCCAAGTAAGCTGCAGACACTTGTGCCCAGTTTGGCCATGAATTAATTCTGAACTACTCTGTCTTACGCAGCAAGAAGAAAAAAAAATGAGCATTTTGTCCAAAGGAATTAGCAAAAATCTAGTTACTGCCTTGATAAGCCCAATGTGAGGTTTTCCAAAAAGATTCCTTAAAACTGGGTTTGCATCAGGCACAAGCTGCAAGAGAGGAATCTTTTGCTCATGTGCAGAAGATTTGGTTTAAGTACTACTTTACCAAGGGAAACACTTAATCCAGAATATACTAGTATTGTTCATTACAGTTCATTTGCTGCTTGGAGGCAATTTGTGCCTATAAAAGCAGAGTTTTCTAACAAAAGGAGGAACTTGGGGGTCTCTGGTGGGCCCGCTGCAATCTCCAGTGAAGGTCTCTGCCTTGGTCCCACCAAGACTATAGCCCAGTCTCTAAGATTCTATCACCTGAGAAAGCATTTAGGCTAAGATGTTTATGTGCCTAAAAATGAGGTTCTCAGTCTGTAGTCAGGCACCTAAGTAAATGCCTCAGTTCTCAGAGAGTGCTGGAGGACGTCTAGCTTCTACTAAATCCAGAGAGATTTGCTAGAACATGCCACCTCTGAAATCTAAGCTCCTTACAAGCAGGTGCCCGACTTTCAGCAGTTATATGAGGAAGAACTATTCTGGGCTATTTTCCCTAAGAATGAGTGCTCTGACATGGGGACCAGACAGGAGCAGACTGTGGGTTTAGCTGACCAAGCACCATACTGGGCAAATAATGTTGAAAGATTTCATAGGAAATTCATTTTGGAGGGAAAAAAACCAAAACAAACCACCTCAGTCTTGTCACCAGTGAGAGAAATGGAATTAAATTCTTGAGGTGCTGATAAAGCCATACAAACAGTCAGGAAATGCTTCCTGTCTCTAAAATAGAGAGAGAGAAAGAAAGATACCGTCTGTCTAATCTGTTAATACTTCACTATAAAGCCATTTTCCTTTACTGAAGCTTAGGCTAGAAGTCAAAATTTCCATTTCAATGCTTCCTCTTTTTTGTTGGTTGGGATTGAGAGAAGAGAAAGCACAATATACATAAGTCAAAAGCTATTATGACTTGCTTAGTGACAGGGTAAAAAGCTTTTTGTATATTTTTTAAAAAAATACACGCAGTCTAAGTCAAACCTCTAAAGCAGGACTGGCACCTCTTTCAAACTGCTGAAATGACAACACACTTTTATCTGGCCATTTCAATAGTTCTTAAACTGTCATTTATTTGTCACAACAACAAATAGATTTAGCTGCCAGGAACATACCACACAGAACGTCTGTTCAATTGTGTTTCAAACTGGATTTACACTACCCTGGGGGAGCTATCCTCATCCATTCATTTTATTTCCCCCATTCTATGGCTGGGATCATTAGTGGGAAGCGGGGAATTATCTGTCTGGTCATTTACTACTAAGCATTTCTTTCAAAAAACACATAAGCAGCAGGACAGATGGAATAAAAACTGCTGCTATTCTTTCCCACTGAAAATTGTTATTTTGTTGGTATAAAACTTTCCCTGAGAAAACTTTCTGACTGTTCACATGAGCTTCTTTTGCCTTTGCTCTCACTACAGCATGTGTTGGGAATACAGAGACAGGGCAAGAAGCTTCACTGCTTAATAATTCAGCATCTCTGGGATGTTCCTGCTGCTAGAAGCACCTGGCTGAGGTCTCCTCTCTCTGCACCCAGGCAGGGGCTGCAGCTCTGTGATATGCTCTTGCAGCGCACACCGAAGAGCTTGAACCTTCTGACCTGGAGGGCACACTGCAAAACTCAAAGGCATGAGCCAGCAGGTATTTTAGGATGGCAGTGGGGACGAGGCACTGATTTCGCCTGCTGTGAGCTGAGCTTGCTGTGAGGGGAGTTTCAGTGCATCAGTATGTGGAGGTGGGAAGAAAGACATGCTGTTTTAACTTGTAATCAGCATTCTGCTGTTTCTTTAATTCATGGCATGACACTCAAAACTTCAGACCAGATGCCTTTTCCATTATAGTTAAATTCAGACACATCAGTGAGGAATAGTCTTATGAGCAAAGAGACACCATCACCTATTTCACTGTCAGCTGGAATGGCAGGCCTCTGAGGTGAGGGGGGCTAGGCATGACCAGGACATGGCTGGAAGGGCACCATTTGTCAAAGAAAATCAATCACTAGGGCATTTCGGCACACAATTGCTACTCTTGTCAGGTCCCATAAATCTCTTTGTAAGATTTCTCAAAATGGCAGCAACATCAATCTTTCTCTTCTCCCTGCACCCTCTCCAACTCAAGAGACATGCATACATACACAGACATATTTGTGCCCATGTAGCACTCTTAACATAGCAGGAATTTGGGTTGCTGCATTACATCACCAAGGAGAAGCTATGAGAACTGATAACCCCAAATGGGCTACTAACACTCCTTGGGATCTGCATTATGTTGTGTGCCAGAGGAAAAATATAGCTGAAAATTATGTTTCTCAATCTCACTCTCTCAAACACAAACATACACATACCCACCCATCCTGTGTTTCCTTCAGCAGAAGGGTGACATATTAACATTTAATAAACTAAAACACCCCCAGAGATGATCTAAAGTAGCCTTTGAATGCATAACTAACGAGCACCTATCAAAAGACAGCTATTTCAGTACTGTGATGAGAGCCAATAAATCAAATAGCAACCACTGGCATTTTTGGGATGAAGGAAGTATTTTACATAGGAGCTGGGGTCTTCCCTGTCCCCAGAGTCTTTGACAAAGACAAATGAAATATGTGATTTATTAACGTTTTTCAATTCTGCTTTTAAAGGAATTGCATAATTGGGAATAAAGAAATGGTCTCATTGAAGTCAAGGTAAGTGTTGTCATTGATTTCAACGGAACTGGGATATTCTCCCAAAGGGGAGAAATTATCTGCTCATGTAAAGGGACACTTACCATATCTGGAAGTCTCATTTTTTGGCAAGTTAGCTCGAAGAATGAAGTTGTTCAAGCTGTTGAGATAGGCTGGAAGGCTGTGATAACCTTCGGGATTATACCACACCTGCACAAAATTGAGAAATTGAAACAATTTGGGAGAGAAATTGTTACTGATAACATTTTGGTTTGTTCTGCTTGCACAAATGAATCATTCCATGGTTGTTATCGAAAGTCATAAGCTCTACAAGTTAAAGTCCAATGATTAAAGCACATCAAGTACCGAATGAATATAAAAGCACGTTTACTTTCAGCACAAGCAGTCCCATCAGCTTCATTTGCCTTCTGGGAGAGAAGAAAGAAGCACTAGCTGGATATGTGACATAAAGCACACAGACACTCGTTTTCTTCTCTGTAATAAGTTACTCAGATCTAACGAACACCAGCAGTGGAGACTTCCCAAAGAAGGCTAGGCAGTCAGATGTCTAACACCCCTTGAAAGCCAGGGGGAAAAAGGTTTCTTTAGGGCAGAAAATAGTCAGTCTTATTCAGCAACAGCCTTTTCCTCCCCATGGTAACTTTTCTTACCTATACCACCAAAGCCCTGAGGACTGAGGGGAAAAATCTGATCACAGGACATGCACTTTGGGGGGATTTACCATCACTTACTTTAGCCACAACCCACAGCACAGCTGGAGGTGTAAGTTACCTACCAAAGGACAGAGAGCTTAGGCTATTAAGCTTAGAGGCTTAAACACAGCCCACTGCATCCACCTTTGTGTATCCCCAAGTCCTGCGTGCTCAGTGATTTCATTCTCCTTGCTCTAGCTTTAGCAGTCCATAGACTGGAGTCTGCCCTCCTTCCAACACTATCAAGGTTTCCAGGTATTAAATCTGACATATGATAAGCAAACAGCAATGCTTTCAGATCTAAGATGAAGCGGTAAGACTGTAGGGGTGAAAACATCTGTAAATTCATTACAGGAGCTCTGAGTGTTAGTGAAACAATAAACACTGTGATTCCCCTGTATTGGACCCACCTCTGAAAACAGCACTGCTCTTGCAGGAACACTCTCCTGGTAGCTAGGTTTTGCAATGAGATCACAGGACCTTGTCAGCTCTCTTGTGTTTCCCTGCTACCTCAGATTTCAGCCTCGGTGCTTTTAATGCTGATGCATTACAGCATTTTCACTGAGCAGAAACAGTGAAATGGGTATATCGGAATGCACTGCCAGCCCTAGTTAACGTACATACATTCTCTCATGAGATAAAGGTGCTACTAATTGATCTTTTCGCCTCTGTATAATAAAATTATGACCGCAGAAAAATTGTCTCCTGCTAGCAACAGAAGTCAGACCAATAAAGAAGAATGGGGACAGAAAAGGAAGTGAACTGCAAGTCATCTCTCCCATGCCAAGCTGCAGATTTCACAGGGTTTTGCTTTATTTTCTGAAATATCCCTGAACTTGACATCACTTCTCCAGGGTCCCACACTTCCCATGCTAGGATGAGCAGATGGAGGTTAGTTACCTTAGTCAATGTTCTGTTGGGGGGCACTGGCCTGATATCGAATTGGAGATCTCTTGTCAAAGGCAGCCCGAAGCTCCAGCCACCATACCTGAGTGAAAACCAGAGGGAAATGCATTGCTACCCTCAATCAAAAGCTTTAATACTTCTGCTTGGTGTGTGTTAGCATGCCACTGTCACCCCAGTTAATTCTAGCTCGACTTAAAAGAACTTATCCCAGTACTCAGTGTGCGGCCAAGCCAACACTGCTGCAGGAGCCCTTATTTTGGGAAAAAAGAGAAACAGAAACTTGGCAGCACTGTGCTGAGAACAGTTTGAGAAACATTTTGAGAAACATTTTGGAGCCGTGTAGACTCCTAACCCGCTTGCCTACCACATCAGAATAAGATGACTGCTTCTTACTCAGAAGACAAGCAGCTCAATTTAAATCAATGGCAGATGAACATATTCCTTGACAACCTTAATGGCCAGCTATTTTTGCCTCAAGACAAACTACGATGTGTTGCTGAGTCCAGACACACTAATAGCTCTAACAGCCCCATGGTGCAAGAAAATGTTCAGCCTCTAATTGCACTGGAACAGATGTACTTGTTTAAGTGAAGCACGCACTGAGGCGCTTCAGAGAATCAAACTTGGAGGAAGGTCTCTCCCTGTGGTTTACTTCATGACAGGCTGTATCAGATTTTCCTCTTTTTAAGCATTTCTGAGTCAGACAAAAGGCTTGTCTGCAGATCCAGCCATCAGCCTATCAGGTGATAGACAGTTATCCCTAGGCTATCTCTGCTATGATCAAGCAGAGCGTTGCACAAACCTTTATCTTCAGCTCTGTGATTGCAGGACATTTTACCTCCTTTCACCAGATTCACAGAGACCATCAGCAGAGAGGCCCTTCTAAGCCCCTACTGTCCTGTCACCTCTCCAGGCACAGTGGATATGATATGGATAAGAGGCTGTTCCCAGTACAGTTCAGAGGAGAAGGATTGGAGATTCATGCTGTACCGTTTTTGCAGGAAGTCTTTGGTAGTTGCCAGAATGTAGGTCTCCACGTTTTGTCCTGTAAGGTTATAAATTGTCCGCGTGGAGAAGGTCCTTCGGTGAGGGGGGGTGTAGTTCGTCTGTGGACATGTCTAAGCAGAAACAAATGAACAAAAATGTTAGTGCCTGTGTTTTAACTAAAAACTAGCATATCAGGACAAGATTGAGAGCAGACCTGGGACTGATTCCTACAGAAGCTGATGGTATGCAAATCAGGGTGCAAAGACACGTGGCATACATTCCTCCGTGCTGTCTTGAACATACTTAGTGAGGTGCTTAAAAACAACCTTTGCTTAAATCTACACTTCAGTTCAGTGAGACCTTGAAATGTGCTTCATGCCATGCAGGAAGATTTTTGCTGAATTAAGGCTGATCCTACTTAGCAGAGCATCAGAGTGACTGCACAGACAACTGCAGAGGGCAAAACAACTCACAGAGCAGAAAACTCTGCTGGCCTCAAACTCTCATCTTGCATTTCACAGCAGCTATGCTCTGCATTTTCGCTTTACTGTCAGTCATTGGGAATATTTTCCTGAGCTTCAGAGAAACCTTGGACTAGTCCTTAATATAGAATTTAAAATGCTGAGGGTCAAAGTCACATCGACTGTTTCATAAGGTTGAAGTGTCCTACCAGACAGCATGCTGGCTGCTCCTTTCAGCTCATCCATAACAAAAACCCTGGCCTCCCACATTGTGTATCTGTTAATAACTTTGCATCAGAACACACAAAATAGCTTCCTTCATGCTGAGGAACACCTGCCTGTACCTGCTAGAGGTGAGAATTGTCTTTGAACATTATCCTGACTTACGAGAGAAATGATGCCAATACTTTCAATGATGTGAAGTTAAGTGTTTGTCCAGAAAACTGCATAAAATAGCTGCATTTTAAGGAATGACTAGGAACATTCAACTAAGTACATGCTTTATCTTACAAATGGCATCACGCTGCACCGTAAGTCAGATTTCCTACTGGAAAAAAGGTGAAGACAGGTGAACAGCACAGGAAGGAGGAATGCTCGACTTCAAACTGGACTGTAAAACTGTAACATCTTTGGGGCAGAATCTGCCTTTTCCCCATGTGCACATAAAGACACTAAGCCCAGCACTGCCCATATCTGGTTCTGTATGTACCACTGTAATGCAAATAACTAATATTCTTAATCATCACTATTTACAATACAGAGTAGAGTAAAATCAGCTGGATCTAGACTCTGCATAAAGTTAAATTCTGAAGAGCAAACAGCAATAATAGCTGTGCTTTCATATAATGACAGTACTTGTACAAAAAGCAATTTTCCTCTTGAATACATGTTCACCTGCGCTAAATGGGACAATCATACAACATTCAAAAATATTGTTAAACCTTTTCCCACCACAGGGAGCAAGGCAGATATATTAGCATGTGAATCTTCTGAGGATGATGTTTCCTTTCCTGTCCCTAAACTGGTGCAGACAGTGGTTATCCAGTGTACAAAATCAACAAGGCCAAAAAAGACAGGAGGCATTTGAACACTGAGTTCCCTTTCGTGTCATGGCTGCCCACAAGACCACACCCAACCTATGAGGTCCCCAAATGTCCACCCAAGCCCCCTCACTTTTCGATTTATTCAAATTACCTGGATGCCATCTGTGCAGTTGCAGGCAGAATACTTAGTTCTCTGGTCTCCACTGATAGTCCACTGGCCAAGCATGTCCTCCTTTAAACACTGCCTGAAAATGAACACATTTTCCTCTGAGGTTCTCTATGCGCAGGTGTGCAAATGATGCTAATTGCTGTCATGTTTAATGACAGCAAGGATGGCAGTGAGTAGCTTCAGCAGAAAAGCAAACCTTCTTGTCAGCTCTGGGTGCTTCAGGGAATACCCATCCTCCCGCTGCCTTCAGTGCCTCTCAGCAGAGAGCCCTCACCACTGCTCTCTGTGCCTGGATTTGTTCAGCTGATTAGAAGGAATCCAGACACCACTTCATTCCCACAGCAGACAGTGTAAGGAGGCCCAAATCATCTTACAGTGCAGAAATAAGGGCTTATTGTCACTGCAATAACTGGGGAGCCCTGCGATGGACTGTACTGACTAGGCAGTCACTGTATATACTCTGTATAAATATTTGCCTGCAGATATGTGGCACACATGAGCATGCAAGTCTGCCCAGGATTTTACTACCACTTCCTTGAAAATTCATCTGCAGAGCCCAAAACAAACCAGCCCTCATGGCACAGCTTTTAGATACAGGTAACAAAAGCTATGCTGAGAACTTTCTGGGTGAGGTCAGTGCTATAACTGGGATTACTGGAGAGGCAAGGACTGCTTCCCAGATACAAGAATAGCTTGCTCTTGTCCTGGCATCTTGCCACCACCAAAGCTGCTTCCTTACTACTCACAGTAATAAAGGAGTTCACTTGTGGTTGCGAATGCTTCTTGAGGCAAGCAAAAAACACCAGTGTCAAGGTCCTGGGACTGTGTGGAAGTCCAGTCTCGACCTTAAAGCACAGTATAGTTTCCTGTCTTCAAGAATATCTACAGTTCTGTGCTGGCAGACACAAGCCTTTGCTCCAAGTCGCGTGAGAGCCACGTAGGCTCTCGGCCGAGCTGAGGTCTGGTTCACACCGATCACGACTACACAGCTCCCTGCTCAGAACTGGCTTGAATCCTGCCAGCTCAAGCCTATGACCAGTGCAAGCTTGCACCTGCCTGCAAAAGGCCAGTTAAGACATCTCCTAATGAGCTGAAAGAGCCTGCAAGTCAATCTGAAGAGGGGCAGGAGATATTTTTTTTTTCTCTACATGTGGCACCAATGTATGAAAATTCTGCAGATGATCAAAGATGGTTATTAAGGTCTAATGGCTAATAGTGTTATGTCAATCCTCTTGCAGATTTGGAATTTAAATGGAAGAAAACCAAGAACTACTTACGAATTGCTTTCATTCATGCATGTGTTATCCGTTCCAGGGAAAGCAAGCATTGAAGCTACTAAAGCATCTGTGGATTCATTAAAATTCCTAAGATTCAACAAAGAAAAAAGAAAACAGGAAAATGTTCAAGGTACTTCCACTAACCGAGCAGAGGGAAACTGTCTAAATGAAACAGGATTTATTTAATGTGTTAAATAAATAATTATTTGTGGTGCTAGCCCTGCAAATCACTTAAGTACCTGCAGTACATGAGGACAGTCACACAGGTTTAAAAGGACTGCTCATCGCTTAGAGCTGCACAACTATTCCAGTGATTTGCTGCCTCTAGATCTAAGCAAGATACTGCTGAACTTTTGGACAATCAAGACTGTCTCCAAGGAAAGGGCATCTACTGCAAGTTTCAAGCACTACTTCCAGTCTTGTCTCAATCAGCTTTCTCATCTGTGATGTCCATTTGGTTTTGGGTCATTCAGGAAGATGCTGCTTGCTTCTGACCCAGCTCTCTAGCAATGATCCATCAGGAGAAGCAGAGAACATTAGGAACAGAGGACTCAGACATGCAGTTCTGGCTCATCGCCCCATCTAGCAGGACCGAAGTGGAAAGGCATGAGCAGTCCTGGGAAAGAACACCTAAGAGCAGACATGCTTGCTTTAGAGCTAAATTTTATATTTCTGACTTAAAGCTGAGAACCACTGGAGAAAGACAGCAGTTCACATCATGAAGTCAGAATTACACAAATTATAATCATTTTGGTAATAGGATTTTTAAGCAGAATGAAATAATTCAGTGGTGGCATCTTAATCACACTGAAAAAAAGCACGCCCTTCAAATTGACTGTGCGCCTTGGACTAGCGGGGCCTGGGCAGGAAAGCATGTCCTGTACTGACAGAGAGGAGGGTGATGCGGACACTTCACAACATGGATAGAATTTGATTCCAGAGTTGCAGTGTTGGAGACGACTGATGTGGGGACCTCAATTTCATATCGGAGGAGGAGCACATATGTAAGAAAATCTCTGTGGGACAGTATGGCTGTCACAGGGCTGGAGGACTCCAATGGGAAACACAAAGAATATTCCTCATGTATTTTACAGTAAGTTCCAGCTGAGAGGTTGTTTTTCTAAAGCGTTCTGATTGCGGGTCTGAGCCAAGCCATCTACCTCAGAGATCCCTTAGGAACAGAATTTCTACATGTTGTCTGCCTAACACTTTTCCACTGGGTGTGCTTAGAAATAATCCTGATGGTAAAAATGGCTCTTTATAAACAAATGGGTTTAAGGATCACAAAGAACACCACGCACCCAAAGAAGTCTGCCTGGTCAGATGTGCCGTACAGAGAGGGAGAAAGAATCAGTTCGGGATATTCGGTCTCCTTAGTTCTCAGCGTCCCAAGTCCCATTGCGGCCATCACAAAGAGGACCGGGAGGATGACCTGAGCAATGAAGCCTCTGACATCCCGCCGGGTATGGTGGAACCTCTTAATGAACAAAGCTGTTGTCTTCTTAAGCAGCAATGGCAAACCCTGCAGGCTTTTTGATCTAATCAGGAGCTGATCTGGGTACAAAAGAAGAATGCGTTTTGTCATGGATCAGTATCTGTGAAATGCAAGGAACTGATGATTATAGTACCCTGTGAGTATACTTAGCTTCCTGCACTCCTTTACAAATGGCAAACCAAAACTACTAAGTTGGAACATATGCAAGGGTCAGGCTTGGGCAGGATTCAGATTTTGGCTCTTGAGTCATAAGCTCATGTAACACCATTATTTTGTGTTTAATTTCAAATGTGTACATGCAGTGAATTCATTGTGAGATCTTGCAAGAGAAACACAGGCTTCCAGATGCAACAAGTTATCCACATCCTATCTACCCAGCTGCAACTTACAGGGGGAAAGGTACTATTCTTTTCTATTTGCAAACTGAAAATTTTCATAATTTAGAAAACAGGTCCTCAGACACATCAATAGGAGAATTCATACTGAAACAAAAAACCAAGACATATAAAGCAATTGATCATTTGCATGGACAGGGTTGTGGCATACTAAAAGCAGAAGCAAACCCCGTGCAACCTATTTCCCTTTATGAAATATTAACTTATCTAACACAACATGAAGCAAATCTTTTTCAGTGCTCTCATTAGTGGTGACACAAAACACTTCTCTACGCATATGAGTTACTGTCTACAGTAACATTTACAGTGCAGGTCAGCTTTGAGAAGTGAGTATGAAAATACCTCTGTGTTGTCCCTTATCTGCTTCCCTAAGTATAAATGATATATTCATAAGTTAAAAAAAAGTTTCTACTATGTGAGAAACGTTGTTCAGCCAGGTATTTGCTCATTTTTTGGGTCATGCCACCTCTTGCAGCTCTTGAACCCTCAGGGATATACTGGTATAGCTTGATTCTTTTTTGAATGTGAATTTATCCCACTGTTTGGCCCTTTGAGCTGTTGGCCATACTGTAATAGCCGGGACACAGCAAAAAGGAGTGAGGAGGACCCAGCTCAGAGTGGTGCTGCTTTTGCAACAAGCTAATGGTTTTCCACAAAGTTTCTCTCCAATTCCACCAGTTATGTAGAAATAATCCTCTACATCAATTACAGCAATTACTTTCAGAGGTATATGCTTGCTCTTTCACCCACACACTGTATTTGATTAGATTAAACCTGGATCAATTTAAAGGAAGGCGGATGCAAACAAAACCCCTCTGTAATTTATTCTGTGATTCAGACTATTCCAAACTAGTGGATCTAAACAACTGTTGAGTGCTGTACTTCTGGTGATTTATTGGTTTTGAGATTCCTGGTTGGGTGAAATGTGGTTTTCAACAAATGAAGAGGCTTTCAACAAAGAAATCAGTCTATCTGTCATTGTTTGCATCCGCGACAGATCTGGAATAAAAACTGGAGGTAATTCAGTACCGTCTCTTTCTGTGAAGGTATCTGTGCTCACAGACATTTCATCACTGCCAATTTGACCACCAGCTCCAGGCAGCTCTTGGGGCAGTTCAGCATCTTCTGGCTGGTACTTCCCTAGTTCTTTTGTCAGATTGAGAAACACCTATGGAGCAAAAAAATATGAAGGAAAATTGGCCCAAATGACTCAATTTACCAAAACAATCAGAATCCACTCTGCTAATTTGTAGCTGTAGTTGGTGCAGCAATTGTGAATTGCAATCCTCTTTCTGTTCCCTTTGTGCTCTGCGAGATAAATTAAATTTTTTTTTTCAGTACAAAATTGCTGTTGTCCAGCTCCTTGTCACCTCCTGTCTCTCTCCTGATGCAGCAGTGGAAACTTAAACCTTTGCAGCTGCCCCCCCAACTTACCTTGTCCTAATACCACCTGCTACATGACTACATGTAACTCAACTCCCTCCACAGCCGCACAGTGAGCAATGCACAGGCAGCTCTCCCTGCATGGCACCAGTGAAGAAACAAGGAGGGCTGTTTCCCTGTGATATTTTCCCCTTTAGCCTCTGACAATCACAGCTGCCTCCGTGCTGGGACTGTGCACATTCGTGGGGTTTGCACTGTGGGAGCACGCTGAGGGAGCAGCTGTATACACACAAAAGGCACCCAAGCTGCACGTTGGTACATGCTATATAACTCATTCTTGATGCCTTAGGAAAACACCTTAAAAGCAAGGAAGAATTTCTGAGCAGAAAGGTAACAATCTCCCTCCTTCCTTTCTAAAAGACAAAAGTCATCGCTGCTCATCATTTAAAGTTACTTTTTGTTTCTGATTCAACTAAATGTTTGTGTTTATTTGACATTTCCCACGGACAGAAAGCTGCTTGTGTTACTCTGAGATGCACCAGGTGACTTACTTGCATAATACAGCATCCACGCTGAAGTTTATCATTTCCTCCCTGCTGATTGCACAATCCAGATTGGTGGAGACCCGGAAAATAGTTCAAAGAGTAACACATCATTGCCCTCTCTCCTTAGTGTAACCCCAGCATCTCATTTGCTGGGTAGAATACCAAAAAGCTGTTAGCAAGGTGAGACAGTGGTACACTCTGTGCATTAGTATATGTATAGATTCATTAATTCATCTACACACTCACATGTTCCTAAGTGTAACACAGTGAACAACCAAACCACTTCTTGTCCTGCCTGCAGCTCTCACCATCTAGCCCAGAACCACACAGTGCTGTGAAGGTAATCTCCATAACATTTCATTAAATCAGGTGGATCCTAAGCTCATACCTCTTCCACAGTTGTGTTTGAAATCCCATAGCAACCAAGGTGGAGATCACTCAAACTGGTATCGAGGGCTCTGAGAAGTGCCTGGTAGGCCCCTGAGACAGTGGATTTGAAGGGTGGAAGCACATACACGAGCTCTCCACCAATATCCTCCTTGAGATAAGCCTCTGGGAGGTGGGACTGGATGAAGGAGGTCACTGCTGTGGTGTCACACTCCTCTATCATATTCTGAAAAAGAAGGAAAATACTCTGTGGTCACCGAGGGCTGCAAGGTCAAACTTCCTACTGCAGGTTAGCCCAAATTCTGTCCTAGTAGAATAATTAGTAGGTGATCTCAGTCCAGGCATGCAACATTTTAGTTAAATACTAAAAGGAGATGAAAGTGGTTTTCTGGCCCTTGAAGAGAAGGTGTGGCACTGTGCCTGCCTTGGTCCATCCAAGACCTTGTTGGTCTCCCTTTGACTACAGGGACACTGGGATTGGGCTGAATCAACCACTTTGCACTAGCTAGTGGGTTTGTAGTATAACAGAGAAAAAGCCCAGCCACAAGAGAGCTAATACCTGAACTCTGCTGCCAGCACAAATACACTCTTTTTCCATGAAAAACAGGGGTTGCATATGGGTCTTTTTTCATTTTCTCGATCTATACCGCCAGCAATTTGGAAGAGGGGCTGATCTCTTTTGGTATCTGCACATTATTCTGTGTGCTGGGGCTACCAACAGCACTGTAATAAATGCTATCAAGAGGAGAGTTCCCCCCTCCTTGCAAGCAGAATGTTTTGCTTCAGGCCAGATACTATTGATGGACTCTCCCCATCTAATTTGTCTGAACTCCAGAATTCACACTCTGCACCCGGCCTTGCCTTTAACCCTCAAGGAGATCTTGTTCTTTTTCAACAAAGCAGAGCACTGACATTCCTGTTTTCCGAGAGCCACAGAGGCTGGTCTGGTGGCCTGGCTGGAAAACTCTCTCTGCTTTGAGGGACATGGGGGACACGCACTCCCTTAGCATCTCTCACTGAGAAGCAGCATGCTCACATCCAGATCCTCAATAGTTCTTTGGTACCGCTATGGTCCTTGAATCTGTCACTCAGCTCCTGCCAATATAGCCATAAGCACCTGCATCCCTGAACAAGCCTTGATGGCCCCCCTCAGAGATGAAGCTGCTGAGAGCTGTAGCTCAGCTCCACACAGGCTCGCAACCAGGTTTGTCTCTGCCTCTGCCCCCCGCAGCGCCTGCTGCAGTGACCATGTTCACAGGACATGAAAGGGAGCAAAGGCCCAGCAGGGAAAGGAGGACAAAAAGGACTGCATCATGCACCTGGGATACGGGAGGCTCAAGTTCAGACCTCTGTCTTGTCTATTAGAGATGCAAGGCTTTGTGCAGAGGGGCTGAAGCCAACTCCTCTGTTTTGGGGAACTCTCCACACAGGCTGTCTTTATGAAGGAAACTTATTTACAAAAAAAAGCATGTAAATTCCAGCATGGGACAGGCAGAGCTAGCCAGAGAGCAGAGTGCACTGTAACCTTGGTATCTCAATGGTTGGGGCACATGAAAAAATGATGTTACTTGGCAATCCAAGGAAACAGTCCAGCATGTTCTTGAATCTGTGTGTCCAAAACCAATGGTTTCAGCCCAAAACACACCCCACAGGCATAAAGTGCTCACATAAAGAAGTTATTCCATGAAAGTGAAATCATACTGGAACAACCATTCTACTGAAGACATCTAAGACTGAAATGGACCTTCTGCAGCATACTTAATTTCTGTGGGGTGCTATGACTTGCCTCCTTCCTGTCATACAACTGACTCAGTTTCCCAACAAAGATGCTGAAAATTTACGATCAACTCAGACACAAACCTTCTTTTTTGTGAGTGTCAGGTGGTATCCGTCACCAAAGGTTTCCTTGAGGTAGAATGGCGAACCACAACATTTGAGTCCTCCATGCTCTAGGAAGGCGATTCGGTCACTCAGAACTTCTGCTTCATCTAAGTGATGTGTTGAGAGAATTATGGTTCTGCCTGGAAAGCACAAAACTGATGTCAGCCACCACAGAACAAAAACACATGCTTACATGAGACAGGTGAAAGCTATGCTGAATGAGGGAACACAGTATCAGGTGAAAATTGACTGTGGTTTTTTGTAATTATTAGTGAAACTGGATGAAAGGCAACATTAGAGAGAAGCTGAAAGTTACTGTATTGTAAATTGTGTATGATGATATAATTATTTTTCAAATGTCACTGTGAATTTACAGAAACCAACCAGGATGCACCCAGAGGGCCTGCAAAACCCCAGGCTCCCACAATTCGTTCTCTGTGGTCTCCAAAACCCACAGTTCAAAGCCACTGATACCATATTTGCAAAAGTGACACAAATCACCTTTGCCACGGGGTAGTATCTCGTCTCATCACGGTACCTTTTTTATTCTTGGAGATAATTTCCCAAATACTTCTCCGAGAACATGGATCCACCCCTGTGGTTGGTTCATCTAGTATCACCACCCTTGATCCACCTAGGAGAGCAATAGCTATAGATAACTTCCTCTTCATCCCCCCGGACAGGGAGCCAGCTAGTTTGTGACGATGGCTGTACAGTCCAGTCTCCTTCAAAGTCCTTGAAAACAAAGAAAAAAACAACACCAAAAGTTGTCCTTCAGGCATCTTTTAAAAGCAGGGAATCTGAAAACCCCAAAAAAAACATAACTGCAAATGAAAAACTGCTCAAGTATGGACTGCTCTACTGAATGGTCACAGTGCAGGGAGATGATTCATCCTGTAGCTCAGTCACTGGGATTTTAATTTAAAAAAATTTTTAGGATGTTTTTAAAGTTTCCATCTGACAAGTCAAGGTTAAAGGCTCAACCTCATCAACTGAGAACACCAAGATCCAAACTCCCTGGGATGTTCTGGCTGCTTCACTTCTCTGCAGAACCAATAAAGCTGACATCATCTTTCTGACTGGTTGATTAAATTTCTTTCTGGGGAAAACTGTAAAGCAGAAAGGACTAGACCCTTAGGCCTATAAAATCATCTCTAAAGAATTGCCCCAGAAGTTTGTAAAGCCCCTGGAGAAGAGACATTATTTTCTTACAGACACAGATATCGACACTCAACCTGTAGTCAGAACAAGGCGCTATTTGAACTCTACGCAGGGTCTGCAACAGTCCTCAGAACCATTCATTTGAGCTTTGCAGTGGCAATGGCACTACCACACAATAATTTTGACAGCCCTGTCTCCTTTCTCCAACCCTGCTATTTTTATACCTCTTCACTTCTTGGTAGAGCTCCTGTTTACTCCAGTGAGGGACTTTGATGTACCCATAGAGCAGCAGGTGTTCCTTTGTGGTGAGGTAGTTAAAAAGCACATTGTGCTGCATACACACACCCATGTTCTTCCTGATAACTTCCTGGTCAGTCCTGATGTCTTTGCCATACACAAAAATAGTACCTGATGATGTAGGGAACAACCCAGTCAAAATAGATCTGAAATAGAAAAGTAAATAGAAAAAGAAGTTAGAAAAAGGAGAAAGCCATAGGTAATTTTTTTCACATGGTCCTGTATACATCATCACTTTCAAAGTTTCCTAACATCACTACCACACCTCTTCCAGCCAGAGACCACTGACCACTGCTGCTTCTGCTGCCTGTCCGTGCTTTGGCAGAGTGGTGGCCAATTAACATCAAAGGACATCCTTCTACCTCTCTGCGGGAACATGAGGGCACACTCACAAACTGAACTCTGGCTACTTTTCACGTGTACTTTTATCTTCTTCAGCCTTCCCCTCCCTAAGTCAGACCACTGCATATCCCATACATCAATACTCATGAATGCCCTTGACTTCAAATTTAATCCCTGGGAATTCATATAATGCAGTTACTCTTCATTCTTTGAGGTTTGTCTGCAGTATCCAGGCAGCCTCATATTGCTAACCACAAAAGAGACTGAATACCACATCTTCATCCTACTAACCACATCAGAGCATGGAAACTTGATTTCCCTGCCCTTATTAACAAGAAATTGGGGAGGACTTCCAGACAAGACACCTCACAGTGGGCAGCACTTTCGTCTAGTTCAAGCAAATAATTACCTACCAGGAAATACCCAGCAGACCCAAGTCAAACACCCTCTGCTCAGAATAACTATGTGCACATTAAAGGTCATTTTTGGTGCTGTCCTGCAGGGACTAAAGGGAAAAGGTGTGTCTCAGACTGCCCTTTACCTTCCCAGAGCTTCTTTCTCTCCTGGGACTTTTAACCATCATTAAAAAGGAAAGAAGGACCTTGTGACCTTACTCAAGATTTGAAGCCTGTGCTAAGTTGCAAGATGCTATTATACTTTTCTGTATATCACCTTTGCCTACACTTTGCAAACAGGATATGAGATTAATTGATAATAAGCTGAGATGAAGCACACATCTGTCTTATTGTTTTTGGTTCTTCTGAGACTTCTATTTATCAGCTTAATGTTGCTTTCAGAGTGATGCAGACATACATCAGTGGAGAAATCGAGTTCTACAGGTCTGTTTTAGTGATATTATCTAACAACTCAAATAATAATTTATAAATGGCAAGGTTGGAAGGACTGAAAGGCCAATGTATTAACCCACTCCCTTTCCAGCCCAGCCAACACATGAGTTTGTACAGCTGAAATATACCTTTATTAAGCTTTCTTGCTAATATCACTTCAGCTTTGGTGTGTGTATAAGCTACCCACGGCTTTCAGAACAACCTAACCCCAGGCACCAAAGTGTCATGGAACAAAATGCTAGAACAGCTGCTGTGCTGCATATTGCAGGTATCCTACCAGATCAAAAAGCATGTTCCTAACCAGAAAAGAACCTTTAATTCTCATAGATGAAGGGACTGCTGAGGTCATCCATGAGCAAGGCAAAACTACAAGAGAGATTTGGCCTAAAACATTTTATTCAGTCTCCCAAGACTGCACAGCCCCACTTGCTCTCTTGTTCATCCAATCATGCCCCTCAGTATATAAAAAAAGCAGCTTTAAAGGATACGCACATAGTTGTAGTTTTCCCAGCTCCATTGTGTCCCAGCAGGGAAGTGATATTCCCTTCATAGAAGTTGAGGTTGAGGTTGTCCACTGCAGCTTTGGATCCATAAACCTTTGTTAAGCCACGGAGGGAGACTCCCAAGGTGAGATCAGTGGGCTCCGGTTCCAGGTGAGGAGCAGGGGCACCTTTGAAGAGTAAGAGGACAGTTACTGCACTGCAGCAGGTCTCTGCTACTTTTTTCACCTCAGAGATAAGCAGCATTTTTAAAAACAAAATACAGCAAAAGTAGGTGCCTTTCAGCTAGGAATGTAGAGAACATTTCACAAGATCTGCATCATTTTGAGCTCCCAAGTTTTTCTCCTTTTTATTTCTGCAGCTTCTAATAACTCCTGACAATAAGCATTAATCACTTTTGAAAAGGTCTCATATTTACATGTTTTGGAGCACCTAACTTAATTTATACTAAGCAAGCACAGAAAATTAGAGGACATATAGAAAAACTACTGAGTTATTTCTAGTTAGGTAGAATCAGAAAGCTTTTACGTGTGATCTCACAATATTTTACAGGCTAAATATTTAAAGAAATGAACAGAGAAGCACACATCCCTTCTGCCAAGTGGAAAACAGTATTTGCTTGCACAAACAAAAGTGTATTTCTACACAGAGCGTTGTAGACTGACACATACACATCTAAGGTAACTGCCCAACTACAACATGAACAAACATGCATGTGAAAATCAGTAGTGGATTTCCACACCAAATGGGAAGAAGAAGTATAATTTAAAAGCAAAATCTCCATCCACGTAAGTAACAGCTGCCAATTTTTCCTGTGCTACAAAATAAGGATCAGTAGAGAAATGTTCTTTCTGAGTATGGTTCTCCTTTACAAATGTGGCTTTACTGAAACTTAAGTTAGTATCACTACCTCATCTAGCATTCACATACATATCTTATTGGTGAGGGTGGCTTCTTTCCTTAACATCAGCTTGTTGAAGAGAAGGCTTCTTCGTTTCTCATTCCAGAAGGGGAGGTAACTGTTGTACTCAACCCAGTAAGACGGAAGCAACGGGAAATACCAGGGAGCAGCCATGCCGTATCTACCTGCAAGAGTAGAGGAATCTCATTCAGGTATCTGTTTCTGAGGAAGTATCACTATTGGGGTGCACTCAAAATAGCAAAAATAAACTCCACAGAGATCTCTCCCCTGCTGATGTACTCATTTATAGCTGATACTTGGTAGGGAATTTGCCTGATTGACACGATAGGAAGCATTCACTAATTTGTTATTCTGAGTAACTTCATAGCTGGAGGGCATGAGTACTTTCCATTTTCCACTGAGCAGACTTCCGTATGCCAGTGGACTGCTTCATTAGGTGGGGGAGAAAAGCAAAAGACAAAGGTACTGGCTCTTGCCCAAGGCAGGAATTACTTTTTGAAATCAAATTATATAAGTCAAACAACACAAAATGATTCAACTGACAAATGCAGGTTAACATACTCTGTTCTCATTTTCACCCACCAGACCACAAACACATCCTCCCATGTGCTTGGCTTCAGCTTCTTCAGGAGACCCACCTACCCACGTCATAAGCAGAGAAACCCTAGTTCTCCTTTGCTCTGCTCTGTCCCAGTTTCATTGATACTCTCAGATATCCACAAAGTCATGCTCCCTTTGATCTAGAAACAGAGGTATCCTGTGTGTGCAGACTGTTTTACTGCCTGAACCATGGAATCAGCCAGTGTTGTATTAATTGTTTTCCAAATAAGATACTACAGCACCAGCCTCAATGGTTTGTATCCTTACCTGGGAAAACATTCCTTATATACCACCCCAGGATGAAGTAAATGAAAGAGTCTATCAGAATGAGCCAGCACATCCAGCCAAAAGAAGTGTTATCTCCAATCATTGGGGACTTATACATGTTGTCCCACTGCAGGCCTGCAGAAGGGAATTCAGAAATACAAACAGAATCCATATTAGCTAATGAAATGTCACAACTGTGGGAGCTCAAAGCCTAGTTTTGTTTACAATAAACATACCTATGCCCTGTGCCTCGTATCGAGCAATGTATTGACTCGCGTAACTGAATGCAGTTGGAGACAACAGACTCTGTGGAATAAACAAAATTGAAAGCAAAGAATTAGTCTTAAGGACACTAATTGTGAATTAGTCTCAAGGAGAAATCAAGTCAGTCAACCAGTGTACCTTATTGGCTTGGTCTGTTAGCCAGAAAAATTAGTGGGTTTCTTTTCCCAACAGTCACAAAGAGCACTGGACCAGGCGTATGACAAGAAACACTTCTGACGATGGTAATGTCTTCTTAGAGCCTGTCTGCTTTTTGCTCCTATACCCAGAACCCAACTTCATCTCTCATAGAGGGCTTTTAGGCTTCTGAGATACAGGCTGACTTCTGGAACCTAATATTACCTATTTCTATCCTTGGTAAGAAACAAGGCTTTACATCTATTTCCATGGCTAGGAATTTGAGATGCATGAAGGTAAAGGATGATCAGAACCAGCGATGAGTGGAGCCAGCCCTCTTTCAGAGCCCTGCTACCTAAACTCCTTACTGAAACAGTCATTTTTCACAGTGCTTTTGCTTCACAATTCAAAAGGACAAAGTACATAGCTCAAGCTACTCTGATTCAGCTGGCAGATGGAACTCACTAAAATCCCACAAGTATTGCTTTCAGTCATCAGACACAACTAATTCCAGGTCTTCCTCACACAAGCCATAGCCAACTCTCCTGTTATGCTGTCACACCTGTCAACACCCACTGATGGTATTTAGAAAGGCACCCAACTCATGTATATTTGTGACACAAGCTATAATAAGATCTGAAGTTTATTGAAGGTGTCTGCTTCCACACACATGGTCCCTGTTATTGAAAAGCAGAACTTACCAAAAGGCTCTTCACAGAGAAGCTCAAATGATTCTCAATGACAAGCAGCACGATGAAGGGGAAGAAGGTGAGGATGTACACAAGACTGCCCACCAAGGCTGCTATGTTGGTATTATTGAAGAAAACACTGATGAAGTAGCTCATAGCTATGATGGACAGGCTGTAGTCCATAAGGTACAGAAACAGGAGTGCTGTGTTTGTTTTGGGAAGGATGTCACCCATTTTTAGAACAATGATGAGGAAGGTGACAGTAATTAGAAGGAAGATGGCGCACTCTATGAACCAGGCGATGAAATGGCTGCTGACATTAACACCCATCATTTTCATGTACTACAAAGAGAAAGGCGAAAAAAAAGAATCACAAATGACAACTTTTTATTAAGAGATATTTCTGCTGATATTGAACTGCTTCTTTTTTCAGTTTCTGGACAGGCATACAACCAAAACATGCTCTTTCATACTTTGGCATACAGCATGTCGATAACCAGGGAGAAGCCATACACTCACATGTCTGGAATGCCCTAGGTTTGCAAAGCAGTCTATTGCAAAATAACAGCACAGACAGGATCTCCAGGTATGAAACATCACAGCCCACAAGCTCCAAAGCAACTTCTGGCCTTAGATTAGTAACTTTTCTAAAGTATTTTGGTTCTTTTTAAAAATAATGGTAATTGACCCAGTGGCTTGAGTGTAAAAACTCTTAAGCATCTTTGAAACAAAAAAATTTCTCATACACCCCCAAGACAACAAGTAATAGCTAAATTACCATGGCTATAAGGAAGCAATATTAATTTGTATCAGCTGATGATCAAGTCCACAAGACTTGTATAAAACTGTTCATTTGTATTGCTAAATCCAAAAGAAACTACAGGTGCTGGCATCTTGTAAATTATTACACACCTAAAATGATTACTGACACCCTGGTTCTTAAAGACAGTGAAACTGGGTTCCCTCAACTAGAGTAAGGGGCTGTCAGCTAGCCACTGGGGTTCACTCTTTTCCAATCTCACTACAGTTCACAGAGTGCCCTTTCTTGGAAATGTTTTTGGTGAATCAGTATTTGTTTCCATGGTTTCGGTTCAAAAACAAATCTGCTTGAGCTTTCATTGCTTGCTGAAGCTCAGTTTTACAAAAGTTCTTTGCTGCTCATCTCTGTTGACTGCGTTCACACTGAAAACACTGAAAACCTGAGTGTCTCAATGTCATTTCTTTTCCAATAGGCAACCTGAATGAAGAACTTCATTTCAGAGGAGCTGATGTAATATGTAGCATCTTCTGAAATATTAAGTATAATATCTTCAAGGATAGGAAATAAGTCACTTTTCATGCCTTTGTCCCCAGTAGGTATGACAATTTTTAGAGAGGTTTAAATCTTCAGAAAACTTGTAATTTTGTGAGGTCCCCATGTTTCCAGTGTTCAGACCTGCAAAGCAATATTCTCACTGCTTGAATGGCAAATGCCCTGCATTTTTATGGTTTTGAGCTTGGTTACAATGTCAGAATTCAAACGCTGCAGGTCAAACAATAGGTACTTCGAATATTTTTTTTCCTTAATGTTTTTTTGCTTTGTTCAATATTACACATGAGATTTACTACCCACTAATAAGGAAAGTCTGTTTATAATTTTGCACACCCCAGAAAGATTCACCGTACCTCATAAAGCCGCAGATCTTTCTCTTGAACAAGCGTTTTAACAAAATCAGCTATAAACAGCACCCAGGCAGCCATCAGAGCAAATGGAAGAGAGTAGGTCACGCTGGTTAAGAACCTATAAAAGGCAAATGCAGGCTTTAGCTGAAGACAAAATGTTCTGGGGATTAAGGCTTTATACAGAATATATTTTTCAGAATAATACTTTGGCACAGGAGAAGACATGCTTATATTTCAAAATGTGGAGTATAATTAATAATTACAAAAAAGGCTATTTTGCCATTGGATCAGATTTTTTGCAAAATTGCAAATCATAGAGGTATTTCCAGATGCATTCTGGAAGTTTTGCTCAGTAGCACCATTGACAGAAGCAGGAACCACGGCAGGAGTGGCATCTCCTAGCTCTCTGCTGGGGTGCCTCCCATTTGGGAACATCACAGCAGCCAGCTTGTAATTCACAGTTCTGTCAGTAGAGCTAATGGACAAATTTTGTTATCAGGCCATATTTCCTGGTGCCGGAGTTTGGATATAGTTGCTTCCTCTCAGAGTGTCTGTCCTATTATGGGACAGGTATTGCAGATCCAGGTTTACAACATGGGCTTCATAATTCTTGGCTCCTCACTTCAGTTAAAATCTTCCTCCTGAGCCAAATGTGCACAGAGAAAAGACAGCAATGGCCAACAGCAAATTTTTCCTCTTGTGATGGAAAGCAAGCTTTTATAGCAGGAGATTCACGTCATTGTATCTACGGGGCTTACACTTTCCTCCCTCATATCTAAACATGGCTTAAAAAAAAAATCAGTGTTATTCCTGGGAAAAGCTTAATGTACAATAACATTAAGAAATTAATATAATTATATTTGTTTTAACGTTTTTTTACCTGTAAAACTGAAAATTTCCCATAAACCAGCTCTTCCAGGAAATGCTTCCATGGAAATGAAGGCGTATTTATAAAGAACAATGAAAAGGCATTTCAGTAGCTCTACTAGTTCTTTGTTGTTCAGGTTTTTTCTGACTACCACCTTGTGCATGATCTCTAGGCTATTAAAAATTCAGCATTTCCCAACACCTTCTGTGTACTGGCATACATATTCCCTCTATTTCGCTAGAGGATGGTAACTATGTGATAACAATAACAGCCATTTTATGATGACTTCTACTGGATTCAAATCCAAGGCTTTCAGACATTTTAATAATTGAACAAACTCATGTCCCTCTGAACCTGGGGTGGGGAGGAAAACTTGAAGGCAAGCATTTTTCTCAGCAGCCCAAGAACAAGAAAAGTAGCAGATAACTCTGTAGTAAATGCCTCCAGCAGCCAGTTAATCACTGTACAAAACTACCTCACAGCAATAATCCACATATTTGCTGCAAGAAGTTGACACTTGAATACTTACTGCCTGCATACTTGCAGGCACTTTGCATGCTGTTACCTTGAGAAGAGCTTATAGGTCCCCAGCTCTCTCAAGTGACAAGCTGACACATGAGGTTAATGGGTCTGCTATAACTCCTACTGCTATAGCTCCCAGATAATCTTTTAGCTCATGCAGTAGACACGCAGGCGTTTCAATAGAAAGCGCTCCTAGGTCTAGTCTGTACTCTTGGTCCAAGGAGAACCCTCATGTCAGGGCAGAGTGACCATCCAACCTACTAATACTATTTGCTAGCCATCCTTCAGTGCTTTCTGATGGATGTGAAATCCCTTCCCTGTGTGTTTTCCACACAGTTTGGACACCAGCTGTGGTCAGGGTAATAACTGTGAGGAAATACCATGTTGCCAGCTTTCCAACGCAGACCAAATTTTCTTGCCAGAGGGGCAGGTCCTCAGCTGCAAGAGATTCACTTCTCTCTATTGTATTTGGCAGAGATGCAGTTTATATGAGCTGCAGATCTGGCTCAAAACAAGTGGGAAGGAAGATGATCCAAAATTTTTTTAGTTGCTTCACCATTCAAAACTTATTTTGGTCCAAACACTGTTCACACGGCACTGCTCTGTACAAGAGGCTGTTAACCCTGGCAACTCAGTGCATCAAAAGCTTCTCTGCCCTCCCTCATTATTGCAGAGATGAATGGTACAATTTCATCTTCCCTCTTCTTAGAGCATCTGAGAGGCATCTGCACTGAGAACTATTCACGGGACACTGAACATTAGCTAGAACGACTGGAATAAATAACAAATACCACAGCTGGACAGCAATCTCTAGGAACAAAGCTCATAAACATAGGGACTCTTTTTTGCCCAATTAGTAAATTTTCTAAATTCTGTGGCATTGTCTGCATGTAAATACCTGCACAACAAGCCAACACGCATATTTAACCGAAGTCCTGCCAACCCCAGTCTCAGTTCCACCATGTGTAGTAAAACAGGGACAGCAAATTTTACCTGCTGTAAAATCTCTAGTTACCATGACAATTCAGGTACATATTGAGCACTGAAAACAAAAGATTAGGCAAACTAAACATAGACCATTTATACTAGCATCCAAATGATCCTCTTTTGTTCAGAGCCTTGGGAAAAAAAAAGGGGCAAAATGAAATTATTTCTATGCCATGTGAACACAGTATTAAGGAGACTAGTGCAGCTGGTGAACTGTAGTAGTCAGACAAGGTGAGCTTACACAAAGCATAAAGACAAAAGCCACACGAACTTACATATCCTTATTGTAGCAGGGGTAAGGCATGGCCTGGACTTGAACAGCTATTTCCTCTGGTTTCTTGCCAGTCTGTAACTCAATAATGGATCTTTCAATGCTGTCCTGGATATAAATAAACGCCCGGCTGTAAATCTGGCTCTGCGAGGTGGAGTTGTGCGGGCCCACTGTCCAGATGCGCTCCCTTATTCTGTTGGTGGTTTGTGTGATCCTGCTGCTCATTCGGATGGTGTAGTTGACCACAGGAGGGAGGGCCAAGGCCCTGTGAACTGACTGTCCAGGGCTGCTATGGCTTGAAGGCAGCTTGAAAATGATACCTTGGAAAAGAAAGGGAAAAGGCTTTCTTTTAGAGTCGACAGCATGGGAGCAGTACACACAGACACATAGGAACTCCTCATTTTTATAAGCCTTTTCTACATTATAATCCATCATTTCATTTCTTTGCTGCACAAATAATGCTCAGATGGGTAGGCTGCTTATCAAGGGTCTGGAAGCAGAAACTATACATCACTGCAGCTACTCGTACTTTCAAATGTGACCAATGATTTTGGTTGCAAAATATACCTTGAGAGCCTTTAAATCTTTTCCCACTGAGCATTAAAAAATCCAGCTGCATTTGGAAAAATCTTGCTGTTAACATGGACTGTCGCATCAGATATGTAGTATGTCACTCAGCACACGCACCTCTCATGAACGTGCCCAAAGGTACTCTATGAAGAGAGCTCACATAGTGATGCTGTAGCATAAAAACCCCAAGAACGCGGTGTTGAAAATTGTTCATGACCTATACGCATATGTTGGTGCCTACACAAATTCTTGCGAAGCTGAGATGCCTAAGAGTAAAAAAGCTTTGCAAGTTCCAGTTAGGAAATACAGTTTGACAGACAGGACTTTTTTTCCTTTAAAGTGTCTGAGTAGAGGCAATACCACAGAAATTTTTCTCTCTGGAATATTTTTCCCGATTGTTCCATATATAAAGCCTATAATGGAATGGAGGGCAAACATGGAAGAAAACTGCTTTTATGGGAATAGACAATATTACCAGGGTCTGAAGTTCCAAGAAAAATAAAAGGTTTCTATCTACCCATCAAATATGAGGTACAAAACCAAACAGGTCACAGGACTTATAAAGAATTCCTAATTGAGGAAATATTGGGCATTCTTTAAAAATTAAGACACATTTGTATCATTCACATTAATATAAGTTCCTGTTCTCTATTCCCCCATGCCCCTCTCTGTGGTCTGACCTGGAGCTGCAATCCAATGCCACAAATGTGAACGCTGTGGCTGAGAAGACCCAATATATTGCAGTGTTTGGCTGGAATGTCTCAAGAGCTTTATGACCTTCTAATAAATCGAACTGTCTTATATCTTTCTCAATTAAAGCATCTTTTCCCATGGGTGCCTGAAAGAAGGTAGCTGTCATGAAGATGTCCTAAGGGCAGTGAAATTTCCTTCAAACTGAGAATTAACCAAGAGAAAATACCAGTTGACCAAAGGCACCTTGTTAAGCAAAAGTTTGTCCTTGGTTAGTGAGGGGAGTAAAGCCTTTGGTGCGTTCTTGGCTTCTTCGTATCAGCAAGGAACAGGATTATTGCCTGTTGCCTTTTTCCAACCAAGATGTTTGAGACATCTCAAGGCCTTCCCTCATCGGGGCCACTGACAGGCGGTCAGTCCCTTACAATCAGTTGTTGGCAGAGCTGGGGTGGTGTTGGTGCAGCTGGGGCAGGTATGAATTCTGGAGTTGGGCTTTTTGGCAGGGAGGTGGTTCTAGACCACGTTTCAGCTCGCTTGGATGTTCTAGAGGAAGTTCTAGATAATTTTTATTGTTCTAGACTATGTTTCTACCTCGCTTATTGGTTCTAGTTCACTTCTTGTCACAGCTGGTCAGTTCTGATTCAGGTCATTTGCTGGGTTCAGCTCACATCAACAAGTTCAGGACTGCTTGGTTTCAGGGCAGCCCAAGTGATGCTTCTAGCTTGTTGGTTGGTTCTAGGTGACCTCGGGGTTTAGAGCAAGTTCTAGATCAGGTTCTAGCTCACTTGAAAAGGTCTAGATCGCGTTCTAGATCATGTGAAGAGCCTAGATAGCTTGAAAGTTCTAGAGCGCGTTCTAGATCACTCAGTGGTTCTACCTCAGTTTCCAGGCTGGCTTGGGGCTTCATTGGGTTCTGATGGAGGGAGGACCTGGTTCAGGCAGCAGTTTTGGCATCTCACAAGGATTTGGAATACTT